AGAGAGGGACAGGAGCAGGGCCCGAGCGGGTAGTTCCCCCCAGCCTTTTTTTTTTTTTTAATAACCCTCGTCCACTGGTATTTTAACTGTCCACAGGTTCAGTGCATTGACAATGCTATCAAAACCACACTTAATCCTGGATTAACAGCTGAGCTCAAAATGACAGGGCTGGGTGTGGGTGGCTCACCTCTATAATCCTAGCACTCAGGAGGCTGAGACAGAAGATTACTGCAAATTCATGGCCAGTCTGTTTCATAATAAAGCTTGTCTCAATGCCTCACAGGCAAGATGGTGACCCTTTAACCTGTAAGTACTGTCCTAAGTTCTAGGATCTGCACTAATGGGGAACGAAGGAAAACAGTGAACTTGGTGAATGCAGGACCCACGGTAAGGCCGATGTGAGGACAGCCTGTGCTAGGAAAGATGGCATGAAAGAAGCATGAATGCTTGCTCTTACTTCTAAAGGGCTGCTGTTCAAAACTGGACAAGAGCAATGAACACCTAGAACACAAGTAGGATCAGCGAGTAGCAACTATGGGCACTGACTCTGTTTCAGAATGAAGCTTCTTTAATGGTAACTCTTGAGAGGAATGTGCGTCCTGAAGAGGCAGTGAGTCACACACTGAAAAAATTAAATCTGCATGGGGTGGGGCGCAGCATGTCAGGCAGACATGGCAGACACTGTTTTATGCCCGATGGGCCAGGAGTCTGGTTACCTGACATAGGCCTTGATGCTCATGCGACCATTCTGGAGACTTGTATCCACAGTGAGGTGAATGGGGTTAGGGGCCTCCCGGCTGTAATACTCATGGATCAGCACAGAGTGCTCTGTGATGTCATGGCCTGTGGCGTACCTGCAAAGCGCAATGTAATTGTGGACATTAATAGCAAATACCACAGTGCCGTGGCTGTCTGGTAACCTAAGTGATACCAAAACAAAAAAACACCTCTCATAGCAATAGTGCTAATTCAATCTAAGTACTTCTGACTTCAAAGGATCAGAATTGCCAAGAAAACAAATTAATTCACAGCTCTTTGAAGGCCTACTCTCTCAATACTGTCTCCACAAGGGGCAAGACAAGCTCTAGTCAGACACCAAAGGAGCATGGCAGTGATGGAGACTTACGCAGTCCCAGCCCTCCCCAACTTACCAGCCCAGGATGAGCTCATTTGGAGAGACTTTTTTGTGCAATTCATACATGTTTTTAGCAAATTCCATGTCAACAGCCACCTAAGAGGGAAGGCAGGACAGTTAGCTAAGAAGGTAGAAGTCCATAGAAACATTAGATAAAAAGGATAGAGGCCACCCCTCAACAGTCAGACAAGGCCCGGATGTATGAAAAAGTACAAACATTTCCTTAGCTGTGGGAGCTTGGGTCATAAGCATAGCTTTCTGTGCAGAAGGGGCCTTGGGGAGAGCCTGACAGACTACTACAAAGCAGAGGCAGCTCAGCTCCCCACTTACCTCATCTTCTGACTCATTGTGTGGTACCGAGAAGCAGTTGGTGACCTCCACTGAGTGCTTGTCAACAGTTCCTGTGAAAGAGAAAATTGTCCATGCGTTATTTAATCCCAGGGCTCCCAATGCCTCTAGCTACTTCACACGTTTTTGGAGGGCTCCTCAGTGAACACCAATCTCATTCACTCCAAGCTGCACATCAATGAACTAGAATTCTCCAGAGAACTAACCCTCTGGGATGTTCTCTATTTTTCTTCCTTCACAAGGTTTCCTTTGGTCTGTTACTTTGTACCACCATCCCTTTCCATACCTTCACCCCATGATTTTTTTCTGGCTTCTAGCCTCTCTCCTTATAACTTAATCTACATAGCTACCTGTAAGATTCTACCAACAAGCACCCTAATCTCACATGCTAAATGCATTTTAGAGGGGTGGAAACCACACTTTTCTTTAGCATAGGCAAAATCCTACGGCATCATGCTGAAAGTGTCTTTGACTCTTACACATCAACATGTCAGTCTTTACTGTAAACTTTTGTTTTTTTAGGTGATACCATTCTTACCACTACAATAGTTTCCTGTCCTCACCAAACCATTAAGCCCCCCACTTTTCCACTCTTTTGAGGCTTCCTACCTCTCTCCAGTCCACAGTGCTGCCTACAGCACTCTGTGCCCAATCCTAATTCACCAGTTTCTGCTCCCTTAGCTGAAACTATGTCCCTAGATCCAGTGGAAACAGTCTCTTTCTAATCTCTGTTGGCCCCTCCTCTGATTCCTCAGGGTTTCAGGGTTCTGTCTTAGTTCTATTTTTTACTTTCTGTTCCTTTTCTAGGATAGGCCCTGACCTAGAAATGTTTTCGTTAGTACACAGCCAATTGTTGACATATACTTATGGCTGCTTTCTTGCTAGAATGGTGGAGCTGTATAGTTATGATAGAGACTAGGCACACGAAGCTTAAAGTATTCACTGTCTGGCCCATTTACAGAAACTTGCCAATTCCTGCTTCAGGTGATCTAACCAATTTATGGTCTTGATGGCCTTCTATGTTCCTATAGTGTAATTCCTAAAATGGCACATTTGCACCCCAGACTCTCAGTCCTTGTTCAGTTGTCTACCTGGCAACTTTTCTACCTGCCTGGCATGCTTAACAGGTACCTCAGAAGAGACACTTAGCCAACGGAAGTCCACCTCTAAGTCCCCTTTCTTCTTCCACGCCTAAGTACCAGAGTCATCCTCAGTGCTTTCTTCTAATTCTCATTGTGATCACACCATGCAGCCCTGTCAAGTCATCCTCTACTCTCTGTTCTCATTTCTCAAGTTAATCCTTATTACTGTAACATCAACCACGTGGGAGCTAAGCCTATCATTAACTACTTTCTATAAAGCAGTCACAGAAACCTTTAATTTCTAGTCTTGACTGAGATGCCTACTGCTCTAGTATCTTCCTCAAATAGTTAGTTCCACACTTGGGTAGACTGGCATTTTGTCTTCTCAGACCTCCTGTAGTCCTCCTTCATGGCACTTTGCGTACTTGGAATTGTCTAACATCTCCACGGCTCCTCAAGTTGCTAGTTCATCTCCTGCCAGGTTTCGCAACTCTCATATCCCTGTAATGTTCACCTCTTGAGACAGTGGACTTAGCAGGCTCTTTCACACTCTTATAGTTGCTTTAACGCCCAGCTTAAATATCTTTACAATGAGACTTCTCCCAACAACCTTCTGAAACAGATCTTTGGTATTTGCACATCGCTATAACCTTCTATCACATCACTTATATTCTATTCGCACATAAGTATATATATTTACATTTTGAATTTGAAGGTAAAGTTCCTTTGATCAAATTTTGAGTGCTAAGTACCTAACAGTTTTACAGTTCATAAAAGGTACAAATTCACTTAACCCAACGCAATAGGCTTCAAAAATTAATGTTTTTTGGTTTTTTTGGCGGAACCAGGGATTGAATTCAGACCCTTATGCTTGCCAGGGAAGTGCTTATTCTACCGAGCCATCTCCCCGGCCCAACAAATTAATGTTTAACTGAGAAAATGCTAAGTTCCTAGCAGGCAGAGTCTATGCTTTGTTATTTTGTAAGCAGTACTGCGTGACATAGAGCACTGTACCCATGACTCAGTTTAGAAGACATGTGAGGGTCTACATGACAGCTGGTTTGACAACAGTCCCTGTAATAACAGGGGCACCAAGCAAAAATTTGGGGTAGAAAATTACTTCTTTAATCAGCTCCAGTGAATTTGGAAAATCTGACAGCACAGTCTAAAAATTAGCCAAGCTTCAAGTCAACCGTGAAAAGATCATGCCTTGCAGAAGCCAAGGACAGAGCAGTCACAGAACACCACAAAACAGACCGAAGGTGGGAGCATGGCACTGAAGACTGATGCGTAGATGGGTGAAACTTAAAATCAGGGAGAGCAACACTACTTGGTGGTAGAGGGTACAAAGGCTCACTTTGAGAAGAGACACAGTAACATTAAGACAATGAAACAATTTAAGTTTCTGTGAAGCTTCTGCTGTAGGAGGTAAAGGGAGGCTGTGTGTGTTCTGGGCATAAGGCCTGATGGGGTAGATGTCAATCAACAGCTGTACCTGGCACTTTCTGTAACAATTTAGATCTCAGAAAATCTCTTAAAGGAGCCCCTTCTGGAACTAGACTTTAAGTGACTGGCCTCTCGGCACATTAGCTGATGTTTGGTGGCACCTGTGCACACCTCTTGCGCTCTTTGCAACACATAATTGTTCTCTACTTTGTAATAAGGACTATTACAAGTTCAAGACTAAGGAAGAGAAACGATACATAAACATAGAATGGATTACAAAGGTGTTTGAAACTTGTTACTACGACAGAGTGGAGATGAACTCACAGGACAAGCGGTTCCAGAAAAATAATTTATTATCTACAACACTTCAACGCTTTTCAGTTTTACAAACTATTCTAACTACTTCAATATAGGCAAAAAAGAAAATTACTTTTCAATCTTCGGCACATATTTACAAACAGCAAACACTACTTGTTTGTAGGAAAGCACGGGGGTGGGGGACTGGGTTTTATCACAGGAGGAAGTAACTGAAGAGTCAGAGGGCTTTCCAGGTCAGGCTCAGAAGCTTAGGATAGTAGAATATTATAAAATCCTATATAGTTTCCAGTCCAGTTACCTACTTGGAAAGAAAAAGCGGCTTAGGAAAGCCAATAAGGATGGACGGTGGGAAGCGGGTCACCGTGGATGAAAGAGATGGAAAAAAAAAAAAAAAA